AAGAACAATCAAATCAAAAGTTCAGCTCATTACAGTATTCAGGCGGTGCTGCCTCATTTTTAGTAAGTTCAATGTTTTATACTGACTCTAAAAATGTGAAAAAAGCAAAAACAACCCAAGAGTGTTCACAACACAGGGTTACACTTTACTTGAAGGGGTGTGCATAAGACTGACATGACACCTTCATAATCATGACATGACACCTACATAATCATGACATGACATGTCATGAATATGAAGGTTTTTTTATGCATGTTTATGACAACTGTCATTAAGTGTCATTCGCTCAGTTATGTCATTTTTAATGCAAAGATGACATTGTTTGAGATGTCTTTGTGATGGGCTATGGTTAGGGGTAAGGGTCGGGGTAGGGTTAGGTCAAATAATGTCATATTTGCATTAAAAATGACATAACTGAGCGAATGACACTTAATGACAGTTGTCATAAACATGCATAAAATCTCCTTCATATTCATGACGTGTCATGTCATGATTATGAAGGTATCATGTCAGTCTCATGCACACCCCTTCAAGTAAAGTGTTACCCAACACAGTATTCAAGAGTAACAAATTTACAACTATAGTGATTTATATTATACTGGTAAGATTTCATTTCTTTAAAAACTGAAAATAAAGGGTTGTTTTACTCAATTTTGCATTACTTTTCCTCCCCTTTGGCATTCTTGTTTTTTGTGGCATAATTTTGTAAAGGCAAACAGGGTCAAAGTTATGCAATAATGACGAGTGCCTAGTATTATTAAGATTTTCATGGTTTCCCTGGTTTAATCACCCAGACATGACACAAAGATCTGTTCCTTTGAAATGCACTGAGCCTCATGATCCATTTTGAAGCTGTAAATATCCTGGTTGGTGTTTCTTGAACATTCTTTATGTGTCTCCTATGGAAGCTGCATACGATTTTCATGGTATTCTCATATGGAAGGACACATTTGTTTAATTAACAGGACTCTGGTTTACCTCTAACTTTATAAAGTTGCGTGAACTTCTCATGCGTCCCCAGTTATGGAAATCAAGCAGTCGCAGGAAATATTCTGAATGTTAAGACACTGGTGGTATGGCATAATTCCTCCACGAATAGCATTTCCCCTCATGAGTCTCTGTAAAATATTGCCTTTGTTTATGTATTTACTTTACTTTCTTTGAAATCAAGTATTTACGCAATGGCCTTTGTTTCTGGTTTTGCTGATATTCTGTAATTATCTTTCTTGTATTTATGTATAGTGTGTGTATTGTAAATATATTCAGAGCTTTTTTGTTTTGTTTTACTGTAACGTTGTGATATTTTACCCCGCTACACTTCAAAGGGATTCTCTTCCGATTGAATCCTGTTGGAGGATGACACGTCCCGATCGTTTCAAAGGTTGAAAGTGTTTCAGATTTATTTTACTTCTTTAGAAGTTGTCTAAATATTCAGTGCTTTTTGCTATATTCTCTGTATTTTCTTTTCTTTCTTTCCTTTGTTTTCCGCAGAAGATTGAGCTATGAATTGAAATTGAGGTTACACATTATACTTGTTTGATAATCTAATCGGAGGCATGGAAGTTAATAAACTTGCATTTTGTAAGGAACATATTGGCACAAACTCATGTTTTTATATTTACTTAATTATAATTTTTGCCCCATGGATTCCCATGAGAATTTTTTAATGGGTTTTTATACTATTTTGGATTTGAGTAACATAACATTATACTCCTAACAAGCTAATAAGTACTACTACACCATTTCAAATAATAATGATAATAATAAATAAAATCCCGAGGGAACTAATAGCAAATTAGCAATACTGGCTGGGCAAAAAATTGATTTAATGATAGCTCTATAGAAATGATACACTATCATTCAAAAGTTTGGTGTCAGTCACTTTTATTATTATTATTATTATTTTTTTGTAAAGAAGTTAATCCCTTTCGGCATTCAGCCAGGGCACATTAAATTGAACAAAAGTGACATTAAAGGCATTAATAATGTTACAAAATAGTTTAAATAAATGCTGTAATTTTGTCTTGTTCTAGTCATCAAAGAATCCTGAAAAAAACGTATCATGGTTTTCACAGAAATATTAAGCAGCACAACTGTTTTCAACATTGATAATAGAAAGAAAACTTTCTTGAGCACCAAATCAGCATATTACAAATCAGAATAATTTCTGAACGATCACATGACAATGAAGACTAAAGTAATGGCTGCTGAAAATTCAGCTTTGCCATCACAGGAATAAAATGTATAATAAGATATATTAAAATATAAGACAGTTATTTGAAATTGTAGTATTTCACAATATTACTGTAATTTTGTTAAATAAATGCAGCCTTCGTGAGGGTAATGTTAAAATCTAAACATGTAAATAGAATTGCTAATTGTTGTTGTTATTGTTTTGTGAAACATTTCCATTGATATTGCTTTCATACCAGTGTGATTTTGTGGGAATAACTCAATTTTCTCTTAAGGGTATGAGCAACATCACAGTGATCCTATAAGTGCTTTCAGTAAATGGCATTCACTAAAGAGGATCACAGCTGAGCTACTGTTTGATCCATACTCTCATCTGCAAAGATCATCTAAATGTCAGGTCAAATAGTGAATTAAACTATTGTTCCTTTCCATGAAAGAAAATAAATGAGTTCCCTATTGACACAAGGCTTTTCAAAGAAACATGAAGGCATTGACTTCACGATAACAATCTTCCTCAGAGACAAAGCAGCCGGGCTGATTCTGGGCATGTTTAACAAGTATTATATAACAAAGAATCTTAAAGTTACTAGCTGGCAATCACTAATAATCAAATAACATCACTCTGTTTGATGTCTGCTGATTTAGCTCTGCTAAAAAGAGGCCAGACAGACTAAAATCACACCATAAGCTGGAAAATATGTCCTCAAAAGTGGCAATTGTCTTGTATTTTACTTAAAAATTTTACCGTTGTTTGATAAATACAAAAAAAAACCTACACCTTTTCATCTTAGTATTTGTTAGCATACATGCTTCTGAAGCTACAGTATCTGTGATATCTCCACATATAATCCTGGAGTTTAACAATACAACATCATAGTCTATTCACTTGGTGTATTTGTTCCTGTGTGGGCCTACCTGTTATTTATTTTGGGACAATAGCATATACTAATAATATACTAAACTAAAAAGTGAATTGCTCATGTTCAGAATCGGATGCTTATGTAAGAACCGATTCAGAAAATAATATATACCCTAGTGATGAAAAGAATGCATTGTGTAAATGTCAGATTATTTTCATGACTGAGGCCTTTCTACTGTTACTCAGTGATTTGCATACAGGCAAGGTAATTATAGTATCAAGCCATCACAGGAATAAAATGTATAATAAGATATATTAAAATATAAGACAGTTATTTGAAATTGTAGTATTTCACAATATTACTGTAATTTTGTTAAATAAATGCAGCCTTGGTGAGGGTAATGTTAAAATCTAAACATGTAAATAGAATTGCTAATTGTTGTTGTTATTGTTTTGTGAAACATTTCCATTGATATTGCTTTCATACCAGTGTGATTTTGTGGGAATAACTCAATTTTCTCTTAAGGGTATGAGCAACATCACAGTGATCCTATAAGTGCTTTCAGTAAATGGCATTCACTAAAGAGGATCACAGCTGAGCTACTGTTTGATCCATACTCTCATCTGCAAAGATCATCTAAATGTCAGGTCAAATAGTGAATTAAACTATTGTTCCTTTCCATGAAAGAAAATAAATGAGTTCCCTATTGACACAAGGCTTTTCAAAGAAACATGAAGGCATTGACTTCACGATAACAATCTTCCTCAGAGACAAAGCAGCCGGGCTGATTCTGGGCATGTTTAACAAGTATTATATAACAAAGAATCTTAAAGTTACTAGCTGGCAATCACTAATAATCAAATAACATCACTCTGTTTGGCCAGTGAGTCTTCACAGGCACAATGTGACTGTGCTGACTTAGCTCTGCTAAAAAGAGGCCAGACAGACTAAAATCACACCATAAGCTGGAAAATATGTCCTCAAAAGTGGCAATTGTCTTGTATTTTACTTAAAAATTTTACCGTTGTTTGATAAATACAAAAAAACCCTACACCTTTTCATCTTAGTATTTGTTAGCATACATGCTTCTGAAGCTACAGTATCTGTGATATCTCCACATATAATCCTGGAGTTTAACAATACAACATCATAGTCTATTCACTTGGTGTATTTGTTCCTGTGTGGGCCTACCTGTTATTTATTTTGGGACAATAGCATATACTAATAATATACTAAACTAAAAAGTGAATTGCTCATGTTCAGAATCGGATGCTTATGTAAGAACCGATTCAGAAAATAATATATACCCTAGTGATGAAAAGAATGCATTGTGTAAATGTCAGATTATTTTCATGACTGAGGCCTTTCTACTGTTACTCAGTGATTTGCATACAGGCAAGGTAATTATAGTATCAATTTAAATGGGTGTTACCACTCAACACTATCAACTATTAACTTTGTGATTTCAAATCTGACAGCCTGTGTTAGCAACTGTAACCACACCTACATTTATTCACCTAATCACATGTGAGCCATGATGTCGGGACATTCCAGTTTAACCCAACAGACTAAGACTTTAAATATCTGCTTCCATATTATGTGTAATAACAGTAATTATGTATGTATTTAACATTAATTGTACTCATCTAAGTGCTGCAAATTAGAGTGATTAATGGGTGTGTTTAACATTTCATTCTTAAGCAGTTTGAACCATTAATCACAGCAATTAGAGTTTTTCTCTTTCTGTTTCGGTCACCAAATGAAGAACTTCTAGTTACAAATCTTGAACACGGAACACTGTGAAACCTTGTATTACGTTACCTCAGATAAAAACAAACCCCATATGTACCCAATCTATTTTACTCCCATCTCAGGAACAACATCAGCTTGTCATCTGTCATGAGTCTCTTGTTACGCATTTGAAATCTCTGAAAAATAAGGCGGCAATTATTTTTATCACTGTAATGGAAAATAAGAGGTTTTATGGGGCCACACATACAGATGTAACACACATCATAAGCCAAACCAACTAATGTAAACAATCAGCTGCCACATTGTTCCACATAATGCGGCCATTTAGAGCATTATTAGTTTGACCAAAGATTTCTAAAACCACTTCCCAGTAACTCGGTGCACATTTCATGTGAGCGCTGAGTTACATTTTATAAAATACTAATAAAAAAAATCTGTGCAAAATAAATACACGTCATGTGTACATTTAAAGCTATTATTTATCCCAAGCAAATGCATAGTAAGGAAAATAAACAACTATGGAAGTAATCGATATCCAACCTGTCGTCTTGCCAGGAAAAATACAGCATTTGTACCACTTGTTGCATTTCAGTAAAACACAGGAATTAACATATAGGAGTTCCATCGATGTTCAGATTGTGCTCTTTCAAACATTTTGCCTACGTAAAGCGAATCATCTTCGAAACATATATTTTGGACTTCATCCAACTCTTTGGTGCTCTGAAGCTACATTTAATTTTCTAATTACCCGATGACTCCTGCACAAATTTCTGACGTTTCTTATCAAGTGCTGCTTGAGACGTTAATTCATTGTGACTCTGCATTTGTGGCTCACATTCTCGTGACTGTTCTTCAGTTTGGTTCTACAACCAAGACTACAGCTCATTTTATGATTTACCTTGTGATACAAGTAGGAATAGTCATTTACAGGAATATTCTGGGTTCAATAAAAGTTCAACTCAGTTGATAGAATTTGTGGCATAATGCAGATTACCACAAAAATGTATTTCAACTTTCAAAATCTGGTTTACAGTGAACAATTACAGTAGAAGTGAATGGGGCCAATCTTGTAAATATTAAAATGTTCAATGTTTCAATAGTATAGCCACAAGATGTAAACAATATTTTTTTAACATGATCAACATTATGCCACAAATGATGTCAACTAATTGTAAATTGTATTAAACCTGGAATATTGCTTTGAAGAAGATTAAAACGGCCCACAAGTCCTTGAACATTGTACATTTTATGTGGCACCTCAATTCTACAAGGTAAAAAAGGCACATTAAAAGTAGTCATAAAAGAAGATCTCTAAGTATGCAGACAAACAAAGAAACAAACAAACATGTCAAAAGAATGTCCCATCTGGCAAATGAGCCAAGTTCTCATCAATTAGCTGGTTTTGTGACCACAGGAGCCGTACCGACGACAGGGTTTGGTCCTGTTGTACCTGATGAACTGCCAAAACCCAAGATTAACCAACACACCCAAATCCTAATTAGTATCATCAACAGAGGTCCTGATAGCCCTCCCACGGCACCGTCAGAACAACGAGAGCGGGCGGCTCTAGTTCTGGTGTCTTTTCATGTGGAGGGCCAGGTGGTCCGATCGGGAGAAGCAACGGCTACATACGGCGCACTGGAAAGGTTTGGCCCCTGTGTGCTTCCTGAAGTGGCGCGTTAGCTCGTCAGAGCGGGCGAATCGCCAGTCGCACCCCTCCCATGAGCACTTGTATGGCTTTTCGCCTGCAATAAAACATAGGCCAATACAAGTTTAGGGGAGAGCACCACCACAATTTGATGAGATAAAACGCTGTGTACTGCGTAATAATGGCTAGATAAGGTGTTTCCATAGAGTCACACTCATAGGCTGCACGCAATAACATACAGTCTGACCAGTATAGTCTGGTTCACAAATAAATGACAAATGTCTAATCTGGTTCTTTTTAGTGAATCAAATAAACTGAGCACAACCACTGTAGTACCTTTTATGACCAAATGACCCTTATGAGCCAGTCCTTTTAATAAATAATTCAAAATGACTCAGTCAAGTAACCATTTGAATCAGTCTTATGGATTCTTCACTGAATGGAATCAGCATATCTGTGACTGGCTACTGAAAAAACATCAAGTTATCGTTACTTTCAGCGATGGAATTCACATTAAAAAATACATAAATAATAAATAAAAATGTATCATATTTTATATTAGAATGTTTTACAAATAAATACATTTCACAGATCACATCAGTTGGTAAAGATAAGTTTTGATTGTGTTGATTAGTATATTTGTTAAATAAATAGCAGTTGAACTTTATTGAAATATTGTGTGACAGCAATTCCACACTGACGATTGTGTGAGCAGCTCTCTTGTTTGTGTGATATTGCTTATTAAATGTCTTACCTGTGTGAGTACGTAAATGAGCCTTCAAATGTGAGGACTTGGTGTAGACCTTCTTACATCCTGATGCATAAGAATACAATATATGTTAATACATATCATAACTTTTCAAATTAAAGCTCACATCCATTATATAAACATTAAAGGGATAGTTTGCAAAAAAAAAAAAAAAAAAGAATATTCTGTGAATTTCATTCCAAACCTGCTTGACTTTCTGTCTTCTGACGAACATAAAAGCAGATATTAAAAAAAAAAGTCTCCGTGTTTTTGTCCATAAAAAAGGCAAAGAAGTTATTTAAAATAATATTACTTTGTGTTCCACAGAAAAAAAAATTAAGTAATGTAGGTTAGGAACAACACAAGGGTGAGGAAATTTTCATTTTGGGGTGAACTATCCCTTTGAACTAACATTCTGGCCAGCTCTGACATGTCCAGCAGCCTCATATACAATGTCAAAAGGTTTCACCATTGTGTCCTAAGCCTCCTAGTCAGTCAAAGTCCAACCTAGAGATCGGTAATTGCCCGAAGTTTAGTCATGTCAGTCCACAATATCTATTCAGCAAAATTAAATCATCTGAATAGCCATTTAAGCCTGCGCTGCGTCATATGGACTATGTGGTAGGCCTGTCACGATAACAACTTTTTGTTGTGCGATATATTGCCCCAGAAATAATTGCGATAAGCGATATTATTGTCATTTTAAAGACCATTTTATGCCACTGAATATATAATCATAATGCAACAGCATAATAATGCTAGAAGGCCTACACACTTCCAAATGACCACAAACTTTTAATTTTTAAGAATATTTAGATCATGGAAATTAAGTATCAAAATATTAGATACCTTAAAAAACCTGAATAAATAGTAAATAAACATTTTCTAACAAAAAGTGCAATGTAGAAAAATGCACAAAGAACTTGTATGGAGATTTTTCCATCTACAGATTTTTCCCTGACCTTCTTTTCTCTGTAAATTAAGGGTGCTCACTATTGCTGAAAAGCACAATCACTACTCAGCAGTCAGATGTCCGTATGCACAAAGGCACAGATCCCTAAACAAGACCATATCTGCAGATGAAACTTTGTTTGTAGAAGCATTTTTTAAATTTGAACTAGCACCTCATGACTACACCACGTTATGTACGAGAAGCTGCAAAAGACACAGGCGCAAGTAGAATGTACAAAACATGGTGACATTAATTTTTAAGTAAATATAATGGGCGATATATTGCGTCACCAAAAATGATTGAGGTCATGTACAAATATTGCGTGATAAGACGATATATTTATTGCGACTGGCCTGTGTGGAAAAAGCTGCAGCTTCCTTTTAAGGCCTTGAATATTATGTCAAATAAAGTGCATGCTATAATCACATACTGAAGTGTCTAGATGCTAAATTCAATCTCACCTGGTACATCACAGTGATGTATTCTCCTTTTGTCTAGATCGGGATTGTTTCTGCGGTTGTATTGGGCAGGTACTGCTTGTGTTTGGACAGAAAGTGCTGGTCCAGGGGTAAGACCTGCCATTTTAGATGCCATGCTGGCAGCATATGATGGAGGTGGCGATAAGTTCTGTATGAGTTCTTTCCTCCTGTCAGGGCTGCCCGGTTCTGAGTTTGGAGGGGAGGGTGGTAGATAGGCTGCCCTCTTCTGAGGATGCTGACCAAACTGGGCAGGTAGCGAATATCCACTGCTGCTCATATTACAAAGCGGTCTTTCTGCAATATGGCTGGGTTGTGGGTGAATGCTGTTATACGTCGGCATTGGATGGCATGTGGCATTGTGGGAATCTGTGCAAGAGTGGCCACCAGGCACACTGGGCTCGAGCTCCGAATTCAACAGCTGAAAAAGTGGAACGTCTGGGAACTCGAGGGATGGCGTCTCATGCTTGATGTAAACATTGCTACCCGTTTCCACAGCTGGGCTGTAGAGGTTTGTGTACTCTGGGTGCGTCATGGTGGACGCTACCGAGCCCTGGCAACTGGAGTAGTTGAAAGACGAATGCAGAGGTTCCGACTTTATCTGTGGTGCCGCAGACCTCACAGGTCTACACATGCCGGTCCGTAGGTAGGTGGCGTCTGGTAAATAAACATTCATGTTTATGCTGTAAGGTGTGCCTTGGTCCATCGTCATGGAATTGTCTTGACAAAACTTCTTATGGTCTGACAACGCTTGAAACTGAGGCGGCAGGTATCCATCCATGTCTCTTCTGATCTGAGGAACAGAAAAAAAATGGGTTTTTATTCACCACAAAAACATACAATACATGAACAGAAACAAGTTTGTTCAGCTATACCCAAACCTACGTTAAACTGGTTAGCATGTCCCTGTTAGCCAGATGCTGTAACCACTTTAATCTCGCTGTATTCTAACAAAATCGCAAATATTTCATTATGTTAGTTTTACCAGTGTCTGATTTTTTGGGGGCTTTTAAAAGCACAAATTGTGTTCACATCACAGTTTAGAATGGTTGCTCAGTGATGGTTTTGGGACTGTGTGAGTTCTTATGGTGCCATCAGCATAACACTCAACAGTCATTAGTCACATGGTATTTACCCCTATGCTGATTGGCTCAAAACATTGCATTTTTCCTGCCGAGCAACTGCCATTGACATGGGAACGCTAATGGATTGCTTTCTTCACTTATTACATATACCTCTTTGGCATTAATCCTCTGAGCTTGCTAGTAAGCAATGTAGAAATTCCTGAGAAATTACAAAACAAGTTCAGAGGAATGCATCTTCAAACTGACTGACTTTTTTTGTCCAATTATGCTCACATGTAGATCCACACTCTTAAACTCAAACTCAAAGATCCAATTAAAATTGTTTCCATTTTCAAGTCAACTTGTGTGCATCTCTAAATACACAGGCTTGTTGCTACCTTACACTGAAGGAACCCCCATGCAAGCTCTCTCTCTCTCTGCCATCCATATACTAGGAAATACTCCATCTGAATTTAGAGCCTACAGCTGCTCTGCTGTTATGGAGTTTTCAGATTAAGGTCAGTGCAGAGTTCAGCACAATTCATCCAGCATGCTTCATATATATATATATATATCGTACTGGAGAAAACATTACTGTAAAATATGAGCTGTGCAGCGATTATGTTATGTTTTAGATCAAAAGCATAAATAACACAGGCATTTCGGAAAGCTTGCCACCCAGCACTGTTTACCAATGTAACATGCGATTACAGATTCACTCTACCAGAATGTGATGTTTTGATGGAGTGTCATTAAATCCACTGTAATCGTCCTCTCTCAATGCCTCGCTCAGTTCTTAGAGGTGTTTTATTCTAGCCGAGGATCCTGCTCAACAAAGCGTTGCCCATAACCGCATGTCCTCTGCTGAAATAAACTGGAGATCACGTCATTCAATACACCGCGAATGAGAACGACACGACAGACAGCCAGAGATGTCAAGCGTTTAACGCGTTTGACAAAACAAATTACGCAAATGCCTCGTTTCAATGCCTCAAAACGGGGCGGGGCTTTGCAATACGTTTAATAATTCACCCAAACAGATTTTAAGGATCTGTAATAGTCTTGTGAAGAAAATGAAAACATGGCAATGCACTGTAAAATAAATAAATAAGTTTGTATGTATGTATTATTATATATTATTAAAACTGGCTGCTGAAATTGCCAGAACTTTATCATACAAATACAGATCTTTTGGTGTAGTATATTTTTAGTAGTGTATGCCATTAAATCATATACTTTTTACATACCAACCTATTTTAGCTATTAAAAATGTTTGTTACTGTGAAATGTACTAATAAAAACACAGATGCAAAATTGGCCTGTCCAGCAACTGTGAGGATCTGTAATAGTCTTGTGAAGAAAATGAAAACATGGCAATGCACTGTAAAATAAATAAATAAGTTTGTATGTATGTATTATTATATATTATTAAAACTGGCTGCTGAAATTGCCAGAACTTTATCATACAAATACAGATCTTTTGGTGTAGTATATTTTTAGTAGTGTATGCCATTAAATCATATACTTTTTACATACCAACCTATTTTAGCTATTAATAATGTTTGTTACTGTGAAATGTACTAATAAAAACACAGATGCAAAATTGGCCTGTCCAACAACTGTTACAAATACAAATGTATGTTGAATGAACTTATCGCCAAATGGCTGATTCATTCAGAAACGAGGCAAGTGACTGTCCTTATGAATGGGTTACTCATTGACTCATTCGATTCATTAAAAAACGTGGATTCATTCAGTAAGGAAACACCGCGCTGTGTGTTGCTCAGAGACACATCAGTTCTGCTGTGGCTTTAATCGAAACTATTTTCGTCAGCGAAATTCAGCAAAAACAGTCAATATTTTGTCTAAAATCTAAGTCTAAATTCTTGTTTACTGAAATACTATTGTATAAAATCAATGTCACATTGCAATCGTGTTGATATTGATATTCGGGGAAACATCAAGGCCATGCAATGTTGTTTACCTAAATCATATTTTGTAAATATCTTTTTTTTTTTTACTGTAGCATGCATCTATAAATCTCTATGAGTTACTTTGTGTGTGCTGTCTCTCTCAGGCTGTGCAAGCCTCATCTGGTACGACATGGCGCCGCCGGCAATAAAAGGATCGGCTTGGAATCGGCAAGACGTGAGACTGACCGGCCGGTCACCGATCTGGGCCGGTCATGCGAAAAATCGTCCGATTCCGATCACTGGCCGGTCAATTGGTGCATCTCTAATATATAGACCACAGCTGAAAGTCAAATGTGACCCTGGACCACAAAAGCAATCTCGCTGGGGTATATTTTTAGTAATAGCCAAAAAAACATTGTATGGGTCAAAATTATCGATTTTTCTTTTATGCCAAAAATCATTAGGCTATTAAGTAAAGATCATGTTCCATGAAGATATTTTGTAAATTTCCTACCATAAATAGGCCTATATCAAAACTTAATTTTTGATTAGATGCATTGCTCAGAACTTCATTTGTACAACTTTAAAGGCAATTTTCTCAATATTTAGATTTTTTTGCACCCTCAGATTCCACATTTTCAAATAGTTGTATCTCGGCCAAATATTGTCCTATCCTAACAAACCATACATCGATGGAAAGCTTATTTATTCAGCTTTCAGATGTTGTATAAATCTCAATTTCTAAAAATTGACCCTTATGACTGGTTCTGTGGCCCAGGGTCACAAATGGCTTTGTGTGATTAGCTGCACCTGTTTGAGTTTACAAGTCATTTTTAGGACAGGGTGATCCTTTTTCCAACTCCGTGATAATTTTTTTCTGACATGTTGGTGTTATATCTTTCACTTGGATGTTATAAGTGGCACTGAGTAAATACAGCTGGTATATAACATAACATATTTTTAGTGAAGCATTTTCACATTATTTGAACAAAAAAAAAAATATTATAAATAAAGTGAGACTAAATGTCTGAAATTGGTTACCAAAATGTTTAAATTAAATGAAATTAAATTCATTAATGGCCTTGTTGTTATCAGGTTACTTATGTAACCATGGTTCCCTGAGTAGGGAACGAGACACTGCGTCCTCTAGGGGTCACTATGGGGAACGCCTCGTCGTGACCCGTGTCTGAAGCATACATTGAAAAAACACCAACTCGTTGGCCGGCGACAGCCATGACGTCACTACCGGTGCGACTATAGTATAAATAGGCGCCGGGAGCTACACATCATTCACTTCTTCGTCTGAAGCTTGCGTCCGCAGCATGG